TATTTGGAGTCTTCGACGGCGACGGTAACGCCCTACCGTTATGATGCACTGCCTCTGTTTCCGTCGTCGGACCATCGAGCCGTTGCGCTGGCGGCGGCGGTGGTCCTGCGATCGGTCCAGGCCGGTCCATCAGATTCAGAATCTGCACCTGCGACAGACGTGCAGCAGCCGCAGCCGGCGGCTCCTTTCCCGATCGACCGGGATTGGAAACGCAAACGAGATGAGGCCCGACGCAAAGAGTTGGTGGTCGGTGGATTGGCGTATCTGGGGTTGACCTGGGAGGGCCGTCGGTACCTGGTGGGCATAGTCATTGGCGGGTTGGGAGCGTGGCTCATGCTGCGATCGATGCTCAGCGTCTGATTGCGTCCGATATGACCTGCAGTAGCCTGTGTCAGACGTGCAGGCATCTGTTTCCAAACATCTGTTTCAAGATCGCGATCTCGGGACAGGCCATGTCGATCCCGATATATCGATCAGACCTGGGGGCCATTGCTGGACATGACACAGCGATTGTATGATCGCAGCAGCGGCTAGCCAGTAGCCCATCGATCGAACTGCAGCGCTTCTAGAATTCTAGAAACCCTCCGAAAGCGGGTCCGCCGCATCACCTGCTGACGAGGCATCTGCCCAGCACTTGTCAATTTCTCACAGTCAGTCACAAGTAGTAATTGCAGATCCAGCACTAGGGTACTCCGACGCCTACACGACAGCCTGACAAGCAAAATCAGCCGGTCACCTGAGCCCGCCAGGATCTAGAACAGTCTGGAAGAAAAAGCCGAGAGAAGTCTAATAATTTGGAGGAGGCTGAGATACGAATCCAGAAGGGAAAGATCAACGAGCCGTATCCTTTATCATATATCTAGTGTCTACACAGTACAGTCAATGATAGAATAATCAAATGAAGCGTATATATATGTATAATCTTATAATGCAGTCCATGAAGATACATAGTAGATATCAATCCAAGACAATGATCGCAAAAGCAGAGATTTCCCCGTCCCACTAGCCACCTTATTAATCTCAACATCGGCTCCGAGCTAACCACAGAGTAACCAGTGGACTAAGGTAGTCTAGTAACTAAAACCAGTTAGTCAAGGTAGAGAGCTCCGCCTCGCCTCATGAAACCAATCTATCTCAGATTCTGGCGCAGAGTGGAAAATCTTGCTCGTGCTCGTATGGAATGGAACTGTCATATGACAAAGTACCAGGACCAGTAACTATCTGGATGATTCGGAAGCGGGATAAGCCGCCGTCCTCTGGTCTCTATCCTCTACCTACTCTGTAAGTATTCCTGTGTACTGATCAAGTGACCAGATGCATTAACTTGTCACGCACGATGACGGAATAGGGTCTGTAAGGTATGCAACAATCTCCTCAATTACCGTGGACTCGTACAGCTGCTGCGCGGGGCTGTATGTAGCTGAGCCAAATCCTCCCGAGGCAGAGTCATAGTGGAGCCAAGGCCAGATACAGATCCATTTACTTTTCAGAGCTTCCAGAAGGTTCAAATTCAGAGTTTGCTGGTGTGACCTGGACTTGAGACTAGGTTGAGACCAGATAATATGGTTCAGGTGCGAGGACGGGTTCTATGTGAAACTTGGTTGGGGGCGGTGGATCGTGTAATTTGGACTTTGTCTAGATGCTTATTATTTGAGCATTGAGTAAAGGAGAGTAGAGTAGATGGGTGAGGCTGTAGGAGCCTGTCTTGATATTAGTATTAATGCTGGTTAACGAGGCGCTGCAAGCCATTGTGTTGGAGATCCCTGATTATACTGACTGTCTATATTAACATCACCTAATGTGACCATAATTATTCTGCCTAGCCATAGCCATGACCAGACAGGAAATAGAGTCGGTGATGCCCAGGGCCTGTCGGAGCTGTCAGACTGACAGACTGACAGACTGACAGACTGACAGTCAGATTGCGGTGGATGTCAAGGTTGAGCCGTTGAATCGATGCGTAGATTGATTGGCTTAATCTACAGATGGATCAGATTCATTAAGTGTCATAATACTGAGGCAAAATCAAGGATTTTCACTTCCGATCTCCGTCCAGTCTAGTATACTCATAGCACACTAGAATGTAGTATATAAACCCCTTTTACCTTCGATCTTCTTCTGGACCTTTTTCCTGACAGCTGGACTCGTTCACTCATTCATTCATTCATTTCGATATTCGCTCACTACTATCTCTTTGCTACTACTTGCCAACTGCAACTGCACTGGCTACTATTGTGGCGGAGCTAGACCATCGACCATCTTCACAAGCGTGCTTTAGCTGCCATACTAGACTCCTTGTCTGTCTGCAAGACATCCCTCGGTGTTTTTGACGTCAGCCTGCGCCGTGTGGCTTAGGTTTTTTTTTTTTTTTTTTTTGTGTTTCGGGTGATTTGATTATTATTTTTTGGGTCATATTATTATTACCTATTTTTTCGGCTTCTCGACTCTATTTCTATTGCGACAAATCCGCACTGGAGCTTTTGCCTTGACGCCCAATTTCAGCCCTAGAAAGGAAAAAAAAGCTAAAACCAGCAAAAAAGAGGAAGAAAAATTAGTGGAGGAGAAAGGGGCACACCAATAATAACAAAACGTCCATCTCTCTATCTGCGACTCCTAACTCTTCCACTGCTGTCAACTCTCGGTCTCCTATCGTGATACTGTCGACATGTTTTCCTGCGCCAACTATCCTCGCGGTTGCCGTGGCCGCGCCAATATCGAGGGAGGAAAATGCCCTGATTGTGTGGTATGCATCATCTGCTCTGGCCAGATTCCCGGTTGAATAACTAACGGTGTATAGTCACTCAAACTCCGTCGGCCTTCAGCATTGTCATCGCCTTTCGCACAACCCAGAGACTACCGACGAGCCCTACCATCAGAGATCCTGAATGACTCGCCTTACCGAGCCATCGTCCAGGACCTGTGATGCGATGGATGCAATCAGAGAATGAAAATTAAAACCCATGACTCGATGACTGTCCCGCCGGCCGGGACTCGGATTCTTTTTCGCGGGAGGCTTCCTTCCTCATGCATTTCCGGAGTTACCATATACACCCTTCTACTACATACACTACACTACAGCCGTCTACGATTCGAGTCGATTGCGATCTGCGGAGTTTGACTGTGACTATGCGAGATCGCCTCGGCTGGCCGATCATCCTCTCCTTACAGGACGACGCTCTTTGATCTCTTACCCGTCTCTACATCATTGAACTGGAAGATAGAATGGACTGGACTACGGTGGTGGACTGACTGGACACAGTCACAAGGCGCAGGCGGTTATCTGATTATTCCCTCCTTACTATTTCTTTTCATTTCTTTTTCTTTGATCATCTATCTGCACATACCATACCCTGTTTAACTTGATGTCCATTTTTCATGTTTTCGTGTACGCAGTATACCCAACCCAACCCAATACACCGTCTTCGCAACCTCGAACCAGCATTATAAAAATAGTCCAAGACATCCTTCTCGAACACCGGGATCATCACCCCCCGATCCGGGCCAGTCCAGAAAACCCAGCAAGCCAACAAACACGCATCTGTGGATCCCATCCCGAGACTTGGGTGCCTGAAACGGAGCTAAGTGAGATAGCGGTGGAGTGTCTTGGCGATGGCCTGCAATACCGTGAAGAGGATTAGATTAGGGGTTTCACTAGGATTTCACTTGCAGTTAGTACAGATAGAGGAACGAAAAAAAAAAGGTAGAGCTATATTTGGGGGGAATCTGAGACATGGTTGGGGGCCATGAATGGGTTTGGGATTTAGATATTGTTGGGATTTGTTTCAGGGTCTTCTTCTTGATCTCTGTAGATATTTTCGTATACTGATGGTATTATAATCATCTGGCTTGTTAGTGACTATCTTTGCATAAAATATAGTCATCACAATGATCACAACTTATTAAATATCTCCATGCTGCGGGATTAATAGATGAAGAAGTATGCTTAGCCCATTATCAACTTAAGCATAAGCTTATATTCATGTTTTTACAGGTACAGCATACCTAATGCATTCTTATTAACCTGCCAGCTGGCTTATGACAAAGTAGACGGAGAATAGTTGACTAGGAATTGTCTGCTTGCAGCGCCTATACCGAGATTGCCAGAAGCTATACAAGGACTAAAGAGCATTTCCTCAAAGATGGCTATACGAACATAGACCCCCACAGCAAGGGCTCTTCCAATTCCATGCCAAGTTCCATCTCCAGTATGAGTCGTTCCTCTTGTCCACAACGTGGATAGACCTGACATCTGGCTACTAGAGAGATGAAGGAACTGACTTGACCACTGGCACCGCAAATGCACCATATTCCGCCCCAGAGTAGCCGACAGGCCTCTGGCCCCCTCCGCACCCATAACAGGTCCCCATACAAGTCCGCGTCGGGGATGGAGCCAGGACATCAGCCGTCAGCGAGTACGACGCTGGATTGTCTAGAGCTCCACCTCCCCAGCTGTTGTGCCCAGGGCGATGGTTCTGCTATCAGGGAAATGGCGACGTGAGGAATCGGCTGCTGCCCAGGACACCTCCGCATGCTCAATTCGCATGTCCCAGTCCATGCATCCGTATAGCTGGGCCCGTCCGGACCATACTACAATCGCGGAAGACGACAAGCGGAAGAGTCGATTCGGGCCGGTCTCTGTTGTTTGCTTAGAGTCTCTGTACAGTTTCAAGCCCTTGGCAAGGACCAATACGAGATCCCAGATCCGGGCTGCGCAGTCGTATGCAATCGAGGCGATGGTTTTGCTGTCTGGCGAGAAATCAATAGCAAACAAATAGCCTGCATGGCCCCCAGTGCCTGTCTGCGGATCCTCGCGGTGGGGTCTCACAGGTTGACTGTCTCATCCAGTGACCCTGTCGTGTTGAGATGAGTTGACCGTGACCACTGAGAGACTCTATGTGAGTGCTGGTCCCATCCCACAGTCGCAGTAAATTATCTTCTGAAGTCCAGCAATACGGCTGTTGTCTTGCAAGACGGCTACGGCGATGGGGTATCCACTGTGGCTAAAAAGCTTCGCTGGAGGTACCAGTCGCGAGATGCAGCACATGCACTTTTCTGGAAAGCGAGGTGACAACAATAGTTTTGCCGTCAGATGAGAAGGCTGCCCCTGTGCTGAGAGTCTGTTTGCGGGCGGGGCTTGGTATATCCCAGAGCGATAGGTGCTGCTTGACATTGAAACAGCCAGGCTCTTGCCACCAGGCGAAGGACCACAACGAGGGGTGTCCTGCCTTCAACAAGGCCTGCTGGCAGGTGCCAACTGTCGAATCCCAGATCTTACTGTCTTTGTCAGACGAAGCTGAAGCAAGGGTCTTGCCATCTGGTGAGTAGGGACCGAGGACACATCTTCAACATGCCCTCCTGGACTGTCAATTTTGGCCATCATGCGGTCATACAGACTCACTAAAGAAAGGCTGGCTTTGACACGCTCGACAGCTTCGTATTCGGGCAGACCGTTTGATAATATCCTTGAAGACGAAAGATACCCACAGGAAGGTATTTTGCGCCCGGCGACGGATCTCCTCTTTCATCTCGTTCAAAACATCTTGCGCGTAACCGTTGTCACGCTCCAACTCCGAGAGCCTGTGTTCGATGTAGGCGTTTTCCAGCTCCGGTCGACTCTGGACGTCGAGTTCCACCACCGCTCCTGGTGTCTCCTGTCTGTTGCAAATGTCGACCTCGAAGCCAGTTGACCTTGTTCGTGATACCGAGGGCCGAATGAGCAATCTCAGATCCTGGAGACGGGATCCCTCTGGTCGCATTCATCAAAAGCGTCAAGAACCAGATATATCGGGACAGATCCTCATCTGCCAGCATGTCTGTGAACATCCTGGCGGGAGGCTAGAAGATATTGGGTTATCGAATAGCGCGTCCCGCGTTTCTGGGGGTTTTCACATATAGGACAGCATCTACATCTTCATCTTCAGCTTCTAGGACGGATGATCCAGGCCCAAAGGAAACCCACAAGATCAGAATGTCTTTGGTTTGAAGAGGTTGACCTCGATAGTGTTGGTTCTCAGGAGGTACAAGTCTACAAGCGGTATCCTGAATCCTGATTATTTATATTGCCTTTCTGCTTCTTATATATGCAATGCCAATATTCTGATTGGCTTGCCTTCACCTTTACTGCAATCCAATGACCCTAATGACTAAATCCATTTCCCTCTTGCTAATTTAGATAGTAGATATCCCCTTACCCTAGATAACCTGACCCTATTCAAGGAAATGGCAACTTCTGAGTTACACTGCGCGCTAAGCATCTATCCCATACAGATCTGCAAAGTGCTCCATGCGCCAACTGCCAAGAAGGGCGGACATTGGTAGAATTGGCACCGACTTATTGTCCAAGTAGTGTAGATTTTCAAGCTTACTGTGGAGCCTAATCAGAATGAATGATCATATTGGATGGCTGTCTAGAAAAGAGGAGCAAAGCTATCTCCATGATGGGTCCCATAACCTGGTGCTTTACCTAACCAGGCAGGGAGCAACTCTCTAAGAGAGGCCCCGGCTCGACAGATGAACTGCGCACTGCTGGGTTGAATATCTTTGACCACCTCCTCTCCCGATCCCTGGGATATTACTCCGTATGCCCATTATTATCAACGCCGAATCACCCGACCGCAAGGCCCCGGCGTGTTGATTGCTGGCTGATATCGACGAAAAGGCTTCAGATGGTCAGTCTCTCTACCTTACAGCACAAGCCAGTGACTGACTTCTATATCTAGGAGCGTCACTATCTCGAGGAAGAACCTAATAGCGCCCCGCAGTTTGTGGCCCATCCACAGCAGCCTCCATCGTTCCCGCCAGGGCACAACGATAAATATTTTGTTAATAAAGAGGGCCAGACGCAATGGACAACAGAAACAGGCCCACAGTTTGTAGCTGGCGATACAGCTGAACGAAAAAAGAAAACGCGATGGAGGTGGATTGTCGTCGCTGTGGGGGTATTTGCGCTCGTTGTGGTTGCTGCTGTTGTAGGGGGTGTTCTGGGTAGCCGCGCTGCCCATAAGAATGATAATGAGCAAAGGTGTGCTCTCCTATCTCAAGACTGTGGGCTGGATTGATTGGACTGAGTTGAAAGCGACAGCGACAGCGACTCGGCTTTATCGTCATCGTCAGCACCCTCAGCATCATCACTAAGTGGCACCGATACCACAACTCCCACCACCATCCTCTCCAACGACCCGACATCTACTACGACGAGTTCTCCCCCTTCCACAACGACAGACACTAAACAGTCAGCAAATAACGGGAACACTCGACTAGCCATATTTGACATGTACGAAACCGACAACTGCGACGGCACGGACGATTCCTTTGCCATTACGAGCCCGGGCTCCCAACGATGCGTCCCCGTTCCCTCGAACAAGAGGTCCATTCGAGTGCTTGACAATAGGTATGTGATCTGCAGGAAGATGATTATTTGTGCACTAATAAGCTTGCAGTAGCTGTATCGTCACGACATGGAGCGGCGAGTGCAAGGGGTTGAATTTCAGAGTGCCCGATAACAATTGCCATAATGTATTGTACGCCGCTGTGTCTGTATATTGCTAGATGGCCACATTTGCTTCAGCAGTAGTCCCCGATCCAACCTCACGTGTCTGTTGGTTTGTACTGGAATAGATAGATACATACTATTCTTTGTACATATTCAAGTTGCTCTCATTCATCAATCCTACCTCGTAGCCCCGAAGCGCAATGAGCTACATTTATGCTCTAGGTGAGCTGCGCTAGAGTTCATCAGAAGCGCCACAATCAAGCCATACAGGCCTTCCTAGAGCATCAGTCACGAAACCGAATCAGAATAAAGAAATCTTACCCAAGACCTCAGCAAAAACAGAATGAGGATCACGCCCACATAAAGCCGAGGCTGCTGCGACGTTCCTCTCACGCCCGCATCGCCCACGATTCCAATCGCAAACCTAACCACGTTAGTTGAGTCTCAACAGAGATGGGCGCACAGCCCAACCGAGAGACCTGCACCCAGCTGAGCAAGACTAGTGTAGAGAGCCGCCTTTGGGAGAGGGTGTTTGCAATGGGAACAGAGGCAACCAGGCCATAGATTCCGAGAATACCGGCCATGACAGTAGGCAGAATGTCTAGACCATATCAGCATTGTTTCTCTAGAAGCATTTCTGTAAGCATACTCTTGACTATCAAGTCGGGCCTGAGGACGCCCGAGGAACAAACGACCACGCCGGCTTTTGCGGTCCCGTAGGCTGCACTACACGCCGTGAAGACAATGGCACTTGTGCATCCTAAGGCACTGAAGAAGGGCTGCTCGTGCTGTTACGATATTTTCCAAGACTCAAGACTCTTCCTGGGTTGTATAACATTGTCCAGGGTGCGCAGGTTATTTGTCAATCATTGCGATCCAACTGATGTCATGGTCTCAGGTGAAGAGAACCACTTGGACAAGTGGAGGCTATTGTTCGTCGCAATACGTGCTAAAGGAGAGCACTAAGGCCCTGTCCTTTGATATGGGCTTGTTGCTTTGAAAAGCAGATCTGTTTTGTACTTTGCTTTGACAAGTTCAGGCTGGGGTGCCAGGAAAGTATGGGTGAAATGACTTTCAGAAATCAATCACCCGTTTGCCTGAGGAGATTCTGTATGTTGGTTTTATACATTTCTAGATAAGGTATTCAGCTAGCCATCCACATATGATCGATTATATATGATCTTTGTGGACACTAAATCTGTTGTTACGACATGCCTTGCTCTGTACAGTCTTAGGGCTTCTGCTTTTCGGTCATAAAATCCCAAAAGTTCAACACATTATTACATATTATTATATTACTGTTTCTACTACACTAAGAATGGTCATCTAGACGCCCTTTTTGATCAACTGGTTTGACACATCCACCGTATTGTGTAAGGCTATCCCACAAGGCTCTCATGTAGTATTGTAATTGCACCTCTACACTACATGCTGGAGATCAAAACATAGTGACCCCTATTTTACTCTCAGTTCTTTAGTCAAATATCAGCCTTTCTCTAGTTAACGGAATGTACTCTCTCTTTCGAAACCATGATAATCTTTAATAAACCAGGGATCGACTATCCCAGTAGTTAATAACAACCCGACTCAGTATATCACGACATCCCCATTTGCTACTGTCATTCCTCCACTCCATCAACTGGCTTCTCTCATACCAGCCAATCTAGCATTGAATAGAAACACCAGCGTACAGAACCGAGTGGCAACCACTGTCAGGAACGGTGAACGAAGACCCTTGCAGTTACTTCCACTCCAGGTTTTCACAATGCATCCGCTGTACACATTAGTTTCTGCCTGTATCAAAGCAACGGGCCCAAGGTAGACGACTTACTTCAAGGAAGGCACCGAAATCGACCGCTTGTTGGAGACAGGAACGCAGCGGTAGGAGCCAGAGCCGGTAAGGGTGACGGAGTAGAAGTCGCCGCCCCAGAACTGGGCAGTAACGTCGGCGTGCTGTTGGTCCTGAAGGGAGATGCCATGATAAGTCCTAACATCACGAAGTCACCGAGTCGGTGGCAGTAGGAAGACGACAGAGGGCCATTTGTACAATCAGTGTACCCTTGCCTCGAGAGGAATGCCTCCATTGACATCATTTGGAAGGTTGAATATGCTTAGCTCTGTCGGATGGCTATTTCAGCCTCGTTCCCATAGCTGCCGATGATCCCCTTTCAACGCCTGAACGGGCTGTACTTACTTCTCACCAACTCCGCCTAATGTCAATCTGTATCCACCTCTAGTGAGAGTGTCAGCTGGCGTTGAGACGTCTAAGCTAGTGTACTAATGCATACTATGGTACTGTTGTACGGCATTGTGTAGAACGCACTATTAGGCTGGCTGTCCTGCGCACGAAGATGGACGTAACCACGAAAGGCGCAGCGGAGAATGGTTATTCGCTGTTCTTTGCGAGATTCCTCTACAGAGTAGCTCAGATGGATGATGCAGGTTGAGCAGTAGTCGTACTCTGCGGATTCATATTCTGAGGATACAACTTTGCCGCACAGTTCTCAGTATCTCATGATACGTCTAACCCTAGGCCAAGCCCTGTAGAACACTCCATAGGATCAGTTGATTATGAAAAAACAGGCTGGATCTTCCCACAATTTCTCAACGCCAACCGCTCAGCCATCAACACCTCGTACACGTGTCTGACCCATCCACAGCAGATCTTCCTTGTATCCTTGGGATCGACAATTTCCTGGACCCCAAACGCATTGGCCGTCCGCACGGGATTCATCAGCCGCAGATATTCCTCCTCCAACTCCTTATACCGGGCAGCCTTGCCCTCTTTCCCGCCCCGTTGCTCCGCCTCTCGCAGTTCCTGGCGATGGCCCACCTCGATTCCCCCGTCCAGCGGCAGAGACCCCCAGTTCCCGGATGGCCAGGCAATCTGAACGACGGGGTCTCGCGCACCCAGCATGATCCCGCCTGCGACGCCATACGCACGCCTTGTAATCACATTGAAGATAGGAGTCGTCGTAGCAAAGTAGGTTTTAGCCAGCTCAACACCCCAGCGCATCGTGGCGTTGCGTTCGGCGACGGTCCCAATAGCGTATCCAGCTACAAAGTTACACCATTAGCAACTTCCTTACAGTAGCAAGGAAAGACCAAGACATACGGACGTCGACAAACTGCACAACCGGCAGATTCATCACATCGCACAGCTTCAGCAGCCGCGCCAGCTTCTGGCTCCCGGCCGCATCCAGCGCACCCCCATTCACCTCGCAGTTATTCGCGATAATCCCCACCGGCCGCCCACCCAGTCTCGCCAGCCCCCCGATCGCCGTACGTCCCCATAACCCTCCGATCTCAAACCACGAGCCCGCGTCCACCACGCTCCGGATGATGGTGTACGGGTTATACATCCTCGCCGCCCGACGCGGGATCACACTCCGCAAGCCGACATCCTCTCTGTCTACTGGATCCTCGCACTCCACGACCGGAGGCGCCTCCCCGCCATGGTTAGGCAGGAACCCGAGCACCGTCCGCAACTGCTCGAAGCACTCGGCCTCATTGGCGGCAAGGTTATCGATCGTCCCGTTGGTGCAATGCACCATTGGCCCGCCCAGGTCCTGAAAATCCAGTCCTTCCTCGAAGGTGGCGTTGGCGACCACCTCCGGGCCGGCATTAAACAGCGCGCCGATATCCGCCGCCATGACGGAGAAATGGCACGAAACGACGCGTGCTGCGCCGAGACCGATCTATCACCGTTAGTGTAGTCCAGAGGAATGGAAAGAGGAAGGGAGGGGAGGGGAGGTACAGCAGGTCCAACGACAGCCCCCAGATTCGGAATCCCCTTGTTCAGCTGCTCGACGACCTGCGCGTACATGCGCACGTAGGGGAGATAGCTCCACCCTTCTTTGCGGATGGTGGTTACGCTGCCGCCGCCGGAGCTGCCGTCGACGAGCTTGATGACGGGCAGTTTGAGCGCGATGGCTAGCTTCTCGGCGTAGATTGTCTTGTCGGCCGTGGAGCCGTCGGCGTGGCCGCTGCGGATGCTAAAGTCGTCGGCTGTGAGGAGGACGCGGCGGCCCTTGAGCTTCCCGAAGCCCTGGACATTGTTGCTGGGCGTGAAGGATTCCGGGACTTCGGTGGTGGGACCTGTGGTTTTCCAGGTGACGGTGCCTGAGACGGAGCCGATCTCTTCGAAGGAGTTGGGGTCGACGAGCTGGGTGATGCGCTCGCGGACCCAGAGCTTGCCTGCTTGTTTTTGGCGTGCGTAGCCGCGGTGAGAGGGGTTGGGGGTTGCGGCGATTTCTTGGAGGGTGCTGATGGTGGACAGGACGTCGGAGTAGTCTGGTGGTAGCCTAGCTGTCGATAGATGAGAGGAGAGTTGATTGAGACGCTTGGAGGCTTTTTCGTCTTTCATTTTGTAGATTCCTCAATGCTTGAATATTGATATTCTGCAAGATGCTTGAAATGATATAAGAATGCGGGGAACCGAGAGCCGAGGTTCCCCGCATCATATCCCCATATCTATATCTATATCTGTATCTAGACTTGGATCTACACAACACTGCCAATAGATGCACTTATCCATAATGAAAAAACTCCTGATAGCCAACAGAGGCGAGATCGCAGTGCGCATCTTGCAAGCTGCCCGCGAGCTTTCACCCCCGGTCCAGACCGTCGCCTTGTCGACCCCCAACGACACATCGCATTGTCTCCTGGGCCACCCCGACCAGACCATCTCGCTCCCCTCTGCAGCCTCCTATCTCGACATATCTCTGCTCGCGCAAATCTGCCAGAGACATGCCATCGACACTGTCCACCCAGGCTACGGCTTCCTCAGCGAATCGCCCGAGTTCGCTCGCCGCATGCACCAGATTGGGGTGACTGTCATCGGACCAGGGGCCGAGATCCTCGAGCAAACAGGCGACAAACTGCAAGCCAAAGCGCTCGCTACGTCCTGCGGCGTACCAGTTCTGCCATCCCATTCCGCGCAATCTCTCGACGAGATCCGCGCGTTCGTCGAGAACGTGGGATACCCCGTCATGATCAAAGCAGTCGACGGAGGCGGCGGACGGGGCATCCGGCTGATCCACCAGCACCAAGCATCCGAGCTGGCAAACCTGGTAGCAAGAGCGCGGAGCGAATCCCCCTCGCAGACCGTCTTCGTCGAAAAGGCCGCCGTGGACGGCTTCCACCACGTCGAGGTACAGGTCCTCGGCGACGGGACAGGGACCGTCCACCATCTGCATGAACGAGACTGCAGTGTGCAGCGACGGTTCCAGAAGATCGTCGAATGTGCTCCGTCTCTTCTGGACCGGTCGATTATTGAGAAAGTCAGTGAGGCGGCGCTGCGCATCGCCCGCACCATCCGGTACCGATCACTCGGCACGTTCGAGTTCCTCGTCAGCGAGCGCACGTCGGATTTCTACTTCCTCGAGATCAATCCCCGGCTGCAGGTCGAGCATACCATCACCGAGGCCGTGACGGGGGTGGATCTCGTTCAGGCGCAGCTGCGATTAGCCCGGGGAGAACCCCTACCGCAAATCCTGGCTGAGTCTATTCCAACACCCTCAGCACGATCCATCCAACTCCGCCTCTGCGCTGAAGACCCCAGCGCCAACTTCGCGCTGAGCATCGGCAAAATCACCGACTTCTTCGTGCCACCCGGCCACGGCGTCCGCGTCGACACGCACCTCTCCCCGCCAGTAACCGTCGCCTCAGACTTTGACAACCTCCTCGCGAAAATCATCGTCACAGCCTCGAGCTGGGAGGCCGCTGTGCGAAAGGCGCGGCGCGTGCTGAGCGATACCCGTATCGAAGGCGTCAAGACGAACCTGCCCCTGCTCCGGGGGATTGTCTCGTCCGAGGACTTTCTAGCGGGGAGGGTCGACACGCAGTGGCTGGAGAGGAATCTTCCGGCTGTCCTGGGAATGGGCGAACGCATCTCCGCCTCGCTTGTCTCGGTTCACCAACCGTCCCAACCGGCGTTACAGCTACCGACATCCTCCCTCCTCTTCCGCCGCGGCGATGCATGGAGCATCTCCCTCTCCCCTCTAGCCCTATCCCCGACGTCAAAAGAAGAGGCTGAAACCAGACACCACCTGCGTCTCTCCCGCGTCCTCCGCAATGACTTTCCCTCCTCCCTAACCGCCGAGATCGAGTATACCACGCCATCGGCGTCAACTCCATACAAACTCCACCTCGCAGCCACAGGCGCAAATACAACAGCTAGCGCCCTCGTCTCGGGCCATCGTCGCGGTGACCCGTCCAACCCGCGGCATATCGTGCTCCCGCTGTCTGGGAAGTTGATCGAGGTGCTGGTGAAGCCTGGTGAGACCATCGCGCAAGACCAGGTTGTTGCGTTTGTGAAGCAGATGAAGATGGAGCTGGAGGTGAGGAGTCCGCGGGCGGGACGTGTAAAGTGGGTATTTGAGGTGAGGGATGGGGAGGAGGATGTGGTTGAGGGGATGTTACTCGTCGAACTCGATACTGTCTCTGTGGGTGTGACTAAGGGGAAGCTTTGATGGAGTCTACTTCTCGACACTTAGCTCTGGCATATCAATTATGGTGCTGTTCTATTGGGGCTAGACAGGGGAAAGGTAAAGAAGAGTGTATAGAATAATCTACGTACCATTCATCATGTATCATGCATAAAACCCTACCCTATGTCATTCCAGCAGACTCTCCTCTCTTATTAGCTTGAGAGGAAGGTACCAACTGTGAGCACAATCTCGATTTGCATATTAGTTTCATAAGGCTTCTAGGTGCACGGCGCGTAGGGTGAACAACTATAACCATACCTGAAATATCTCAGGAAGTCGAGGGCCATTGGACCAGGTTGGAGCTCCTAGACTCCACAAAGACCCTAAGGCACCGAGCAAGGCAGATAGCTCGATGACAGATGATATCAATGGCTGATTTACCAAGTTCAACCCACTCGTGAGCTGTGCCAGTGTGGAACTGCTAAAACATTTGCGAAAGGGCTTTTAGCGCCAATGCAGCCGAGATTTCCCCATTCGGTCTACGGCAAATAAGGAAAAGGGTTCGTGGAGATAATCCTTCTTTTTCTTCTTAGCTGCGGCACTTCGTAGTAGTATTACGAGTCCATATTGCAATTGCAGGCAGGATATATGGCAAGCAATGAGGAGAACTCTGTTGGTGCCCCTTTTCAACGTTGGCGGGCAATTCCGACGGACACAGTAGTGCTTACTCCGTACTTACACATAAATAGATAGTACATTATCCTTATTAGCGCCGGCCTGATCGTACTCTGCCAGCCAATTAATTAGTCACCTGAAAGTGAAGCGCATGGGGCCAAAGAAGGGGGGATAGGTTCATCCATGCATCATATGTATCACGGCACATGGCAGAAGGGATCAACTGGAAGAACCTTAACCTAATCTGATCCTCAAAATGAACCCTTTTCGCAATCGAAAATCCTCCACTTGCCATGGAATTGAATTCAAACCAATCACTGGATTCCGTGGGACTCCATATCCCAGGGCCAAGACGGCATGGACTTAGGGCATTTTGCGGTGCAGCAACCAGGCGTCTTACTCTTGTCGGCCCCAATGGAGTACAGTACGGGCGTTAACTCATAAAGGTTAGTACCGTACTTAAAGTGACCAAACTGCTTCGGCGTCCGCTTTTGAAATCGATTTGCTCCAAAAAAATCTTCGACCCAACTGGCAGATAGTCTAGGACATGGCGTTGGCTGACTTGGGACGAGCCCCCGTGTTTGATAAGGCGCTGCAGGGCCACCTCGGTTGTGACCATTTTCCCTGAATCTCTCTCTTTCTGTGTTGTGGTTATTTTCATCGCCTTCCCGCCTTCAACATGGTGAAATTGTCGTCGTTGAGGGTTCGATCGGCCGCTCTTATATTTTCAGGGGTCTCGTTTACGCTGGGGTTCTGGTTGTTGTTTGGTGGTCGGAGCCACGAACCGGTGGGATTTAATATTCCGTACAACCACGCAGATTCACCATCACCATCAGGAGACCATCCGATCGATCAACTCATCATAAATGCCGACGCAGAATGGCGATCGCTGCTTGGAAAGGAGGCAAAAACTCTCGAGGCCGCAACGGGGCAATATCGTCACCGTCGGGGTCGACATCCACCTCCAGGCTTCAAAGAGTGGTTCGAGTTCGCTCGATCCAAGGACGCGCTCATTATCGAGGACTTTTTCGATCAGATCTATGATGACCTGAATCCATTTTGGGGCCTCCAACCGAAGGAGATCCGACGACAGGCGCAGAGTCTCAAGCCCCGCATCGCTGTGCGCAAGCATAAAACGACCGCGGTCACGGACCACGAAGCACTTTGGTTAGATTCATGGCTCAGTCTTGTGCGCAGCATCGAGAAGTACCTTCCCGACCTCGACATGCCGTTTAACCCCATGGATGAATCGCGAATCGTTGTGCCTTCGGAAACCATCGCCGAATACATGGTCCAGGAACGTGTAAGCCGACAGTCGATGCGAGATAAGAATCCGGCGGAGTTTATCACCGAATACACAGCTGCTAAGGATGAATCCCAGTCTGGGAAATTCGAACCTCGCTTCCTGGGGCCCGACGATGGTCAGTTCTGGGATATGGCTCGGGTCGGCTGCCCGCCAGACAGCTCGTCGCGCGAAAGTGTCACCGTCGACCCGGCTACAGTCCTGCAAGTGGCCATGGAAAACTTTCTGCCACACTCGCAGAATGGCTATGTGCGCAACTGGACCCAGTCCAAGGATATCTGTTGGCGTCCGGAGATGCAGGCGCTCCATGGAACCTTTATCGAGCCCGTGTCGATATCAACCGCGCACGAACTCTTTCCTCTTTTCGGAGGATCCAAGCTGTCAGTCAACAATGAGATCCTCATCCCTCCTGCTATGTACTGGGCCAAGGACAAGCGATACTCTGGCGGCAACAAACATGGTGGCCCATGGGAATCCAAGAAAGACACCCTGATCTGGCGCGGCATCGCATCGGGGGGTCGCAACCGAGTCAACAACTGGACGGGATTCCAGCGCCATCGCCTATTAGCCATGTTGAACGGGACATCCGTCGCCGCTGCCGAACGGAACAATTCTCACTTTGTGAATTTCGTTCTCCCCAACTACGACTACTACCATCTGGCCTCGGGCCACGCCGGCCGCCTCCACGAGTTCGTGGAGGACCATGCTGACGCGGGCTTCATCCACCTCGTGTGCTTCCCCTGTGTCCCAGAACAGCCCTGCGAGTACGATCTGACAGACCCGCACTGCGCCTACACGGAACCATACTTCGCCCTCGTCCCCGCCATGCCCATGGACAAGCAGTACGACTACAAATACCTGCCTGACATTGATGGCAATTCCTTTAGCGGACGGTACCGCGGCTTTTTATTATCGACTTCGCTCCCCATCAAAGCAACCATCTACGACGAATGGCATGACTCCCGTCTCATCCCCTGGGCCCATTTCGTGCCCATGGACTCGACGTTCCTCGATATCTACGGCATAATGGAGTACTTTATCGGATACGGCGGGCCGGGCCATGACGACGCCGCGCGAAAGATTGCCCTGAACGGCAAGAAGTGGGCGGAGAAGGTGCTTCGCCGCGAGGATATGCAGATCTACATGTATCGGTTGTTGCTGGAGTATGCGAGGATCTGTGACGATAGACGGGATGATTTGGGGTATACCGAGGATATTTTATGGGTCAGTCGCGATTAGACCGTCTGAGGTATATACTTTCTAATGTATTTACGACCCTCTTGTATATAACTTTTTGAACTAATAGAGCATGTATTGAATGTTCTCCCAGTGTCAAGCTTCAACGTAGTGTCAGTCCTCTCATCAATTCCTGCCTGTCTTGCAAGGAAGCCTAACTTTCGGAATGCCTTTTTACTTCTAGCCTGCTCCAGTGTGCCCATCCAGATGGTGGGTGCCGTGGTGATTAGGGCTAGTCGACGCATTCCATAACTGATTCTTCACCAGAAACTCTCATGCAATCCTAGGCGTCTGCCGAAACGCAAACACTAAATGATGCGCCATCTTGCAGCCAGCAGCGTCTGTCGCATCAGGGTCTGCGCATTTCGAAAGGAAAACACGAGCCATCACTAGCCCACTTTGTGCTGCCGGATGTAGAGTACTGCCATCTACCCTTGTTCTGGCCTGGATATCAGCGCCTGCTTCTAGCAGAGCCCCCATCCTCCTAGGGACACTCGACCAAGCAGCACAGTAAATCGGATAGACGAGTTCCAGTTAGTCTGGTTCCGGATCAAAGAGCCACTCATGTAGCAGCTCGCCTGTCTCTCCACTGGATGCGAAGCAGCGCGAGTCAGCAGCTGCGTTGACATTAGCGCCGTACTGGATCAGGTAACGCACGAGCGTGGAATCCGCTTCTCCTGATGAAAACGCGGCGTAATGTAGAGCCGTGTGGTTTCCAGGATTCGATCCAATGGTTGGGTCAGCTCCGTGCTCGACGAGGTAATTCGTCATACTGCCCTGGCAAGCGAAAACAGAAGAGGTCAACGGGGTCCAGCCATTGCTACCAGTTTCGTGCACAGTCAAGATGCTATGATCTAGTATCCACTGCACAGTGTCTACACGACCAGCCTCAGCTTCGCGGTGTAAACAGATCTGTTTGTATTGCTCCGAGCATGGACATCCACGCCAGCGTCTACCAGCATCTGCACCACAGCTAGCGAACTATGATATGCCGCTTCATGCAGTACAGTCTCACCGTAGAGATTACGCGTGGAGTTCACAAGATCAGGTTACAGGGTATCTTGAGGGACCACCTTTTTCCAACAGTTCGTATCTCCTTCCGATGGCAAATCGTGTGAATTTAGAACGCATATTTCGTAGTAGGCGAGCGTCAGCCTCATGATAGCCAACCCCGATCCAGGTAAATAGATGCCACCGTAAACGGGCCATCAAAGACCAGTCCTGAGGAATGTTGAAATTATACATAGATGCGTATTCGAAGGTAACTGGAAAAAAAACCAGCCAAATCCCAGTCAAGGAGCGTAAGCTGACCAGAAGGAGATACTAGAAGGTTGCGTGGCGTAAGATCATGATGAGTCAAGACAAATGGCTCAATGGTCCTTGGTACCCCCACAGTGAGATCTGGTAAGTCTGGTGCTTGGGGTTGCTTTGATGCTTGCATCGCTCCCCGCATGGACGTAAAGTTCGCCCAGAATCGGAAGAAGTGGGTAATTTCAGCTGGGCCAGAATTCGCTGGAAGACCATAGCGATCTTCTAGCCAGAAAGACCTGCATTCGCCTGTCACGAGCGATCCGGCAGTTGGTGAGGTAATAGATCTAAGAATTTTCACGAAGCGACGAAGCTGCAGACCAAGCTTGACTGTCATGAACCAGCCCAGTTCCTTCCAGACAACATCCAAAGTGGTTCCCTCAACCCGATTCATAATAAGGTAAGCATTCTCTTGGGTCTTGATTATCTTTCGTACGGAAGGACCACGGATCCTAAGCTGGCTGGCGACTTCAGTAGCCTTCAAAGCATCTTCAACATCCGAAGGCTCATATTGCTTGGCTATGAGATTCGAGGAGAGGTTGAATACCCGCGAGGTAGACGTGCATGACGGCGAGCATGCAATATAGTGAGCCAAATCCGAATCCGTGTATACCTCTAGCAGCTCTTCATGAAAGGCTGGCGTCATGGCCGGTGAAATATGGAAAAAGGGATGGTGAAGACGCTTATCTCGAGACAAAAGCGAGAAGTATTCAAAGCGAATTCGGAATTACTAATATTCCCTCCCAGTCACATTGTGGCATCTCGTACTGGGAGCGAAATTGATCAGCCTACACATCAACTAACAGTCCAATCTCGTGCACTCAGTGAGCTAGTGGGAATCCTGAATCTAGTTCCAGGGTGAAGGATGCACGGCGCCTTGGTTGATCACTCTGATCACCTGGTCGCGCGACCTCAGGGCAGCACTGCTCACCTACTAGAACAAGAAATGCAGCAGTTTTGACGCCGGTAGTTCTTCGCTCAGTAGGTGGATGATTGATATCGACGTACCATGGTACGACCGTATGAGTATGCTGCTATCTGTGAAGGTAATAGAAATAGGTATGCAATCTCACACCTAGTGATCGACATATCACCTATAAAGGCTCTATCGAGCGAGGGAAACCATTTCCGAATAGCCTGCATTTGTAAACGATAGTCATGTCATCACGACGGGTCGGTCCTCTCCGTTCCGTGAAGAATATACCCATTTCCACTCTGCAGAGATAGCTATGAGATGCGGTTGTCGCGGATCCTTAATACTAGTATCCAAGGAGTATGACAAGACAGCCAGAAACGGCCGCTTTTGGCAGTCATGACAGTCATGACAGTGTTGTTTTGTGGCGGAGGTGTACTTGATCCACACTGCATGAGGATAGAAAATCCCTGCAATATGACGATTCGACATTCATCTTCATACCGAGTCCAATATAGTTCAATATCAGGCTGTCAATGCATTCACCACCAGTGGCTGCAAGGGATGTGGGTGTAGTATACATCAGGCTACTTGTAGAAAGAACTCATGGACACAAATACCATGCCATGTCCATTTTCTATTACTTCTAGTTTCCAGCTCCCATGAGCTAGCCTCAGGAATAGACCGAAAGAGCAAGTCAATAGCTATAGGACATCACATGAAGCCATCAATCATGCAAGCCTCATCCATCCTGCGCGCCACGACAATGCTCTATGCATACTTTTCAAAGAACCGGTTGCGTATCACAATGCCATCATGCCAATCCATGGCTTTGCGTACACAAGAGCCTGCTGACGATCCTGGAAACAATGGGCCCAACCACATCTTTCGTCAGGAACGTCAACTCGAAGCATGCATACGGACATGCTGTCTTTGGAGCCGCCTTACTCTCCGTGGGCCACTGTTCCGGTGGCATTGTCACGGTCTTCTACTATATATTGATGGTCCACCTCTTTACAATTTCGTGCTACGATTCTTTAGCTGTCTCGATAACCGCTGACGGTTTGCATCTGTATCATCTGCGTGCTCTAGTCTGTGCATTATTGGCGTTGAAGTTCTTAGTATAAATCTTTTGAGTATAGAAGCCATATCATGCCCTGGATTCTGAGCTCAGTAGAATATACTGGACACACCCAGACTGAAGGATTGATAGAGATTTGCATAACTCTACTAGTGGCAGTCATCTCTGTGGATCGTCAGCCAGGCTAATTGTGCATGAATATGATACCTCGGTAAGTCACTGGTTCACAGTGAGAAAAGGAGTCCTTAGGCACAAATTACAAATAGTTAGCGTTAGACATATTTAGATAGTCTGATTAATAGCAGATCTTAGTTCCCATAGATCAGAACGTGTTGATTGCCGATCTTGTCGATCCTGACTGCTCCAGGAATGCAACCACAACTCGGCAACTCTAAAAAACTCCGCGTTATTCTCGTCTATCCATCTCCTGATTCTTCTCTTCTCTTGCCATTGCCATTGCATCGCCATCAATTTCAGAACAGCAATGTCATCAGAGGATCCCCCCAGCAGGAAATCACTGCCAGCATGGCTCCATTTCAATTCCCACGATCTCAAAACCCTCTTCCGCTGTACGGCCGCAACATGGGTCGCCACCATCCTGATGTTCATCCATCCCACTTTGCGAATCATCGGCACAGCCACGTTTTTCGGATGGTGAGTTTATCATCTCCAGACAGAATTGATTTATCTGACGTGACAGTTTGGTCCTCTTCATCAATCCCCCTTCGGGAATCCTCTTCATCTTCATCCTGGGGACGCTGACCCTGCTGATTGGCATGGCCCTCGCCTGGGCCTGGGGTGTCATCACCATGAAAGCCGCGTTGGCTGCGCGTCCCCAAACAGAGACGCTGGCCCGTCTGCAGATGCTCGGACAGGAGGCGGCCAGACAGGCGAATGCAACCGGCCAGAGTGCGGCCAGCGTGCAGTCGCAGCTCGTGTATGACGGGTTCATGCTTGATGCGCGGGTTTCGGTCATTTACTTTGTTATGACTTGTGTATTTATCTACTTTCTGGTACGTTTGCCCTCTTTTTGTAATTATCGGGTGACTGACATGAAAAGGCCCGGCTGCGCGCCGCAAATCCCAAGTTCACGCTCGTCCAGATCTTCGGGACCATCATTGCCGATCTGTTCCTGACGATAGGCCCGCTTCTGCCTTCGTTTCGGGGGACGCTGCCGAGGATTTTGATCATTCCTGCGGCGATTGGCGCGGGATTGGGCCTCGTTGCCTCGTTGCTGCTCTTCCCGCAGTCGACGTCGCATGCGGTTCTGGCTGGTATGCAGGCATTGGTCGAGTTGGCGAAGCAACCGCTCAGATTGACGGCTGCTCGTACTGAGGATCTCGATTTGAAAACGTTGATGGCGCTTAGGACCCAGCTCATCGCTGGGTACAAGGCCATGGAGCCGGCGATGGGCTTCCTGCCACTGGATTTCTCGCGCGGCCGGTGGAATGCGGCCGATGTGAAGAGCCTGAGGCAGCCTGTGCGACAGGTTCTTGTGAGCACGGTGTTGCTGCTGGATTATCATATCAACCGGCTGAACGCGCGGGCTAATGCGGACCGCGTCCGGGCCATGTCCAGGCCGGCAACGCCGGTGAGTACCTCGGATGGACCCCGACAGGAGGCCAAGGGCGAGGTCGGACAGCGGCAGATGTTGGAGAGTTTGGAGATGATCGAAGCCATGACCAGTCCTGAGTCGGAGGCGCTGCGGTCCGGGACGGATGCCATTCTGCGGGAATCCAGCGGGGAGATTCTGCAGGTGTGCGAAGAGGTGACTGGCATGTCGGTCGAGTGCATTCACACGGTCAACTCGCGACGCTGGCTTGGCTCGCGGGCCGCGGATCGGTTGGACGAGTGTCAGAAGCTCCTGGAGAAGCTGCGCGCGGCGCGGGACGCCTTTGCCGAGGAGACCACCGAGAAGCTGATTGCGCAACACGGCGAGATTTTTGATGAGAGTGGAAGCCTCAAGCGCCTCGACACCGTTGGCGGCACGTCCATCAGCAGTGTCATGGCGGGCCTGGCCTTTGAGGAGCTGGTAATCTCCGTCGCGGACGCTCTGGACCAGTTTCTCTCGCAGATCGTGGCACTCCTCGAGGCCCGGCCGAAGCCGCGCCTGTGGTTCCCCACCAGCATTGAATACGCCGTCGGCTGGGTGCTGCGACGGGACGCTCGCACTCCGGTCGCGGGACAGTCGTCTGACCCGGACCCGGACGATCCTGCAGTCCAGACGGACGAGACGCAGCAGCTCTTCCGCCGGATCAGCCGGGGATACCGCGTCAAGCAGCGGAGTGGTCTTGGCCGAGTGGTGCTGGGAACGTATCACTGGTTTATCAGCGCCGAGGGCCTTTTTGCCTTGCGCATGGTAATCCTGACAATTGCCCTAGCGGTGCCGGCCGTCATTCCATCGAGTTCGGGATTCTACTACCGCGAAAAAGGCCTCTGGGGACTCATCATGGGGCAGACCACGCTGCTGGTGTACATGTCCGACTTTATGTTTTCGCTCATCTGCCGGGCCGTTGGCACGGTTATCGGAGGTGTCGTAGGACTGGCCGCGTGGTATATTGGCTCCGGCCATGGACCGGGAAATCCGTACGGACTGGCTGCCATCTCGGCCCCGGTTATTGTCATCTTCATGTGGGGGCGACTCTTCCTCAGCCCTGCGATGCTGCAAGCGACCATCATGAGTGCCGCAACCTTTTTCCTCATCATCGGATACAGTTTCGCTGATACGTATGTCCTATGTCCCTCCCCTTTGGTGTATACGCATACTGATCACTGACCACCGCAGACAAATACCTCAATACGGCAATCCCGGCGTCGGCTACAACGTCTTCTGGCGCCGTCTGGTCCTAGTCTTCGTCGGCTTCGCCGCGGCACTGATCGTGCAGATCTTCCCGCGCCCACCCTCAGCAGCACGACACATCTGCACCTCACTATCTAACACCCTCCGCCGACTAACAGACCACTACGCCCTTTTGCTGTCATGCTGGTCCCGCCCCAATAACGACCCCCGCATGGCAGAGCTGCTCTCAATCGAAGTCGCCGAGCGCCTCGCTGCACTGAACGGTCCCATCGCCCTCCTCGGACTGGAATTCTCCAGCTCCCGCTTCGACAGCGCCAGTCTGCGACAGGTGCAGGCACTCTGCCAGACCCTCAACCAGAATCTGGGCCGGCTGCTGCTGCTTTCAGCGACGCTACCGCTTCACCTACAGGAGCGGCTGGCGCGAACGTCAGGCGTGCTGGAGCAGCGGTCCATCGCGGACGTCATGGCGGTCCTGGGTGTTGTGGCACAGGCGATCAAGACGGGGGATCCCCTGCCGGAGGTGCTGCCGACGCCGTTGACAAAGCGCTGCTACGAGTTTTGGCGGGAGGCGCAGTTGACTGAGGTGATGCCCTTACAGACAGATTTGATCAGGGAGAAGGCCTATCGCCGGTACTGTGTCGGGGTGATGGCGTATGTGAGGATGTTGGCTGCGGTGGATGAGCTGGTGATGGTTGTTAAAGGGGTGTTGGGCGAGGCGCATATTGTTCAGCTGCCTCAGCCTCAGCCTTAGCTTAGCTTTGTATCTGATCTCTGTTATATATCGTGAAATAAGCACATAGCTGTATATATATGCCACTATTGCGCCAAGGGCTGGCGCTTTCTGTATTCTGTAAGGAATGAGCGAGACTAAATGCTAACGAGCCGATAGTTCTAATCACCGTTGTAAGCTATGAACAAGTCCCAATAACTCCAAGAATAATGGTAGGCCCAGTCATCCACCGACTGGCTATACCAAACGCCCGTTGAACATCCCTTTTCAGAATCCCCCAAAGCACCCTAAACACAAGACTAGGAAGAAAAAACCCAACAGCTAGAATGAGCCAGATCTTAGCCCAATTCCACCCCTCTTTGTAATATATACCCCATGCCCCTGTTTGCTTAACGGATGGGGAATATAGCTTTCCATTCAGTCTCTTAGGAAGCTGCTACATGATTAATGCAGCTCCTAGGTGTATACTATCAGGATTATTAAACAGGCTCATCATTAGCTGTGGTCTAATAGGTGAAGATAGTTTAGGAGGGACTAGGTAGTACTCATACTCTGCTCCTATCAGGGGAATAAGCCTTAGTAGGGGTATATAGTTATAGGGTTTCCCTTTCTCACAGATTTCATTATGGCAGCGGACATCAATGTAGGGGTGGCCTCTATAGGTAAACTATTTTATATTAGCAGTGAATGGCTGCCTTAATTGTAGGGATTGTGCCTACCTTTATGAAATGGATAGTATGAATTGTCCTTAGAGACCAGAAAGATCCAAATCTCCCTTTATAATTATAGTAGATATAGCATAGTGGATGGAAAAGCTCCCTGTCATCCTTTATATGTGAAATAACCTCCTGATGCAGTGTTACCGGATGGCCCCTTCTTTCAATGCAGGGTATGAGTTAGAGTGTATAACTGGAGTCCTTACCAAGCTTAACATCCTTTTGATCAAAACTGCTCCTGACACCTTCAGGCAGCTGGGCTTCATCTGCTATATTAGTAGCCCCGGTGTTGTGTACCCATATCAGACTTGGGATCGACATCTAGAAGAAGTAGGATGAGCAGATCTCTGGCCTTGTCCACCTTCAGAGGTGGTCTTTGTTTGTTCAACATAGGTATCCAGATAATCCTGTAGAATCTGGAGAGCGCCAGGCTTATATTTAATATAGTTGTCATACAGCTTTTCACCGCGTCTCTAATGGATGTCAATACGCAGCAGGACATATAGGAACTCCAGTCACCTATATTTGTCCACCTGAGTCTTCGATGATGCTCCGGTATGCTGCTTTCCTGAAGTCCAATACGAGAGAGAAATCGTTGCAAAATACGCAGCGGAAGGGATGTTTACTATGTGCCCACCAACTGGTCGACTGGTGCTGTGGCCTCAGGCATCAACAGTTTCCCCGCCTCTGGTCCTCGTTTCCTGTCCTGCTCTAGACCTTAACCTGCAGCCTGTCATCGATCTGATCCATCGTATAGACTACATTCAATCAGGTCCTTATGTCTAATCGTCCATGGCAGTGCACATACTGCTGCACGAGTTTCAGCCGCGCCGAGCATCTACGCCGACACCTTCGGTCACGTATGTCTACCTTTCCGACTTGAACCGCGAACGTAGCTAATAGGAGCAGACGAGAATCTCAGGCCCTTTGCCTGTGCGCTTTGTCGGCGATCATTCACGCGAAAGTATGTTCTGTATGTTCTGGTCATATGATGAGCATTTCTAATTGGCCTTGACAGAGACCTTCTGAAACGCCATGAGAGGACATGCAGAGTCAGAGAAGAACAGGAAGAGGTCGTGGAGGCTCCTGCGGACTTTCAGTCAAATCAGCGAGATCGACAGAGTGAAAGCGAGAGAGCCGTTGTCTCGTCATGTTCAACCCGAAATGGAGACCTCCCTGACCTTCCCAGCTCAGTGGACTTTGCCGCGCTGGACTTTTTATTTTCACCAGCGCTAGTTTCGGACAGCATCACGATGGCTGAAAGACTGGAATATCTCGCCTACTTTACGAGCGCCAATGGTATGGCTACGTTTCTGGACCGCGAGACGCTCAAACAGCGACAGGAGCTCCTCAAGGGGGTTGACCGACACTCGTACGAAAGAATATGCAAAGAAGCGCATCGTGCAGACTTGCTGCCAGAAACAATTGATCCCTCGCTCATCCACCTGCCGTCATCCATTGACGAGGATATGCTCATTTACAAGGCCCACGAGATCACGCAGTGTATCCACCGAACCATCACCACAAAGTCAGACAAAACCATCATCAAACTGGACTGGACCCTTGCCGTCCAACAATCCTGCTCCGCTTTCTTCTCAGCTAGCAATATCCGCCGCTTTCTGGAATATTTCTGGTCATTGTGGTACCCCAACTGTCCCATCGTGCATCGCCCGTCGTTTGATCCAGAGACAGCGCGGACAGCTCTGCTGTGCGTTATGCTGATTATTGGAGCGTGTCTGTCGCCGCATGAGGAAGACGCCGAAGCGGCCAAGATGTGGTTGGACAGCGTCGAGGAAATGGTATTCGGTGATGAGGTTTTTATGGAGAAAGAGACGTCCGACACGTCGTCGGGTCAGCTATACGACAAGGCCGAATGGATGAAGAAGCGCGTCGAATGTATCCAGGCGGCATATCTGGTCTGCTCACTGCAGAAAAGGGAGGGGTCCGTGGAGGCGCAGGGGCGCGTGAGGAGGTATCGACATGCAACTCTGGTTATGGTGCGTATTGAATTCCTATCTGCGAATCCGGCTAATAAAACAGCTGGCGAGAGACATCGGGCTTGAATCGGCCACGCATCGCAACTTGCGGCTGGAGAGCCCCTCCAAGTCATGGTGGAGCCAGTTTGTCATTGAGGAGGAATTGATTCGGTACGTCTGTCTCGACTTGCCCACACGCCACTCAGGCTAACGGGATAGGACTCGGACGTTCATATTCCTGATCGATGCCGCCATGGCGATCTTCCACCACGCTCCGCCACGGATGGTGGTTTCGGAGCTCAAGATGGACATGGCTTGCCCCGAGGCTTGTTTTCAGGCAGACACAGCTACAGAGTGCTTTCACGCCCTGAGGGAATGGGAAGGGTCTATCTTCTGGTCTGAGAGACTGTCCGTCGCTGGCGTGGTACGGAGGATATGCCAAAGACAGTTGGATGGCCACTCTGTCCTCGAGTTTTCAAAGATGGGAACGCTGAATCTGTTTACGACTGTACAAGGTATGTTCAGCATTTTACGTTGGAACATTTCTAACGATATAGCTCTACATTCTTTTACGTTTCATCTGCAAAACTCCTTGGTCTTCGAGTCCAGCCTCGCCCCGGTTCAAACCGGTTTGGAGAACTGGCGTCGAATATGGAACGCACGACAACCCGAGGACAAGGACATTCCCGACGAACCGCAGTCTATCTGGAAGAAGATCGGTTTTGTGCGGTATGCACCTGAATTCTGGCACTTGGCTCGAATCATCGTTGCCCGAATCATCGCCAGTGCTAGCGATGATCAATGTCCTCTGCCTACAGAGCGGGGTCTCTCTCGCTTCGATCATACTGACATGAGAGATATTAATGGATTGATCACGGAATACCGACAAATGAATCTGGGAGTTACGCCGTGACTTTGGTTCATCGAGCCACTGGTCTCTGTTTAACCCGGACGGTAAAGTTGGTCGGTTTTACAAACCACCTGTTCTCCGTGTCCCAATTCTCACTCCTCGCACTGAAATCAAAGTCTCGGACGATTCGCGGGATCAGTTTCGACATCTCCAGAATGGAGATGTGCTTTCCAAGACACGTCCTAGTCCCGAGGCCGAACTACAGTCGTCAGTATGCATATACGAGAGAAGTAGGAGAGACCTACTGGCATGTACATCTCGTTCATGGCTTTGAGCTTCTCCGGATTACTCTCCGCCTCGATCCATCTCTCTGGACGGAAAGTCGTTGCATCTGGGAAGACTTCCTCATCGTAATGGGCCACCCAGGTGTTGATACCCACCACCGTGCCAGCAGGGAAGAAATAGCCATTGATCTCGGCCCCGCCGTCTGGAACCACCCTCCACAGCGGCAAGCCTGTGGCACTGTGCATGCGCAGTGCCTCCTTGATCACGGCCTGGAAATACGGCATCTCCTGACTCTCTCTGAAGGTGACTCTGTCACTGCACTTTCCCTCTGCGGTAAACTCGTCGATCTCGCGCCGAAGTTTCTCCATGACCGCGGGATAACGCAGGAGGTTATACATGATGGCCGACAGACTGATGGCAGTGGTGTCCGACCCAGCGATGACGTTCGACAACCCCATCATGAAAACATGGTAATCCGTCACCTTTTCCGGATCCTTGTCTCGCGCCAGCATCATCTTCTCGACAAAGTTCTGCGTCTCCAGAGGTCCCCGCTCGGCTTGGCCGAGGTCTACCTTTACAGAGAGGCCCCTGATCTTCTCCTTGACGAATCGCACGATATACGCTCTCCCCGCCGCACCAGACCAGCTGAATCGGCTCAGTGGCCCAAAAAGCCGCGGATGCCACTCGGGGTATATGCCCACAAGAGTACTGTACATCATCAGCCGCTGCAGCGCGGCAATCGTTCCTTCGATGTCCTCTCCGCGATCGAGGAAGCCTCCAACAGTCAGTCGCGTACTCGCCATACAATGCATACTATATTCCACTCACCAAACCGCTGCCCGTAGGTAATATCACCAATCACATCAAACGCATAACACTGGAACCAATGGCCGAGGTTGAACTCCTCACCACGGGCCGCGAACTCCCGCAGCCGCATGCAGAAGAGATCCGCGCACCGATCCACAAACGCCTCGTAATGCACCAGCGAGGTCATGGAGTAGAGGCTCGAGAACCGCTTCCGCGTTTCCGCTACCATCGCTCAGCATCCATCACGCAGTGACACGAGCCAAGGACACGATTTATGCATACCATGCCGTTTAATGTTCCGATCAGGAAACAAAGTCCACTGATTTGGGTCTGGGTGCTTCCACCCCTCGTACCAGGCGGACTTGGTGAACTTGCTCCCCGTCCCGGAGACGGTTTTTATGGCTGCGCGCCCGGAGATACTATAATGGTCTGGGGCGATGCGGACGACGGGCCCGTATCGCCGGTGCAGGGCGATATTGTCTGTTTCGAAGTGGCCTGCTCGCACGCGGTGGAAGTACCAGAGTTTTGTGAGGCGGGTGAGGAAAGGGCCTGGGATTCGGCGGAGGGAGAGGGTGTGGAGGGTTGTGGAGAGAGTGCACAGGAAGGGGTAGAGGAGGATGACAATAGGGATGATGATGAGGTACATTTTGTTGATGTTAATGATGGAGATTGAGTCTTCGATTGTTTATCTGGATAGTATCACTCGTAGATATATATGTAGTGGAGAGTTGGAGATGTCTCTCCACCCCCGCCCCCACCGCCACTGTGGAGTCTGTCTATATGGGCAGGTATACTACATAGAAGTAGAGAACTAGACTAGTATTATTCCTATGCTAGACGATCAATATGTTATGAAGGATATTATGCATAATGTCAGGCCGGCATACCCGGTCCTACAACTAGAGCTACTTATCTGCTTCGATTCGAACGGGTATTGGCATTAAATGAGGCTAGCGACTCAGGATAAAAAGGTGAGAAAGTAATCTTCTTATCACTGAGATCCCTTATGTTGATATTGATAGTGAAGAAGAAGTGATCGTCGAATCTCAGAATTGCCTAATCGGGTAATAAAAGAGAGTATACGAATCTACTGAGCCAGTCATCATTCTGCGTACCGCACCGTAGATACAATGCATATGAAGGCAGGCAAGACAAGAGCAAGACCACCAAATGCGATGATACTCAATTGATAAAGAAGGGATATTCTCTCCTCGAACTACACCGGGATACTAACACTGCCCAACTCCCCCAATACCCGTTCATCAAAAAGCGGCATAGACGGAATCCGCCCACCCTCCCCTACAGAACAAAACTGATCGACACCTTTACCTAGCCGTCTATCCAACAGCTTCGACAACGAGCGCGCAGCCACAAACGCCATATCCGATTTCGTCCCCAGACACCACAACGCCGAGATACAGAACTCGCAGTTCCGCCTTGCGTACTCGGACGGATCGTCCGGCCTATAGCCGTGCGATAGCGGCGTGATATCATCAAGAAGAATATACGCCGCCTTGGCGAAACAGCGAATAAGGACAAGCGTCCACGGCTCAGTCAGGAACGCAGCCTCGTTCACGGCGTCGTGGTAGAACTGGATCCGGTTGGACAGGGACTCCCGCCCCTGTAGGGAGCGCTGTGCGATGGCCCCAACGGCAAGCGCGTTATCCCGCCGGAGGGTCGCGACGAAGTCAATTGCGGTGCGGGCTTCGCGGCGGCTTTCCAGACCGAGTCGTCCCTCGTCGATGCCTTTGACGGTGTCTGCTAGCAGCATGGCGGCGAGATGCCAGTGTCCTGCGACGATTACGTACCAGGACTGGATGCGTGGGGGCAGGTCGTCGTGGTTTGCGTTGCAGCTTTGGAAGAATTGCTTGTAGGTGGTGTTCCAGTGTTGGTAGATGCGCAGAGTCTTCTGGATGATTTCCTCCAGACGTTCGGGACTGGCGCCGCGGTAGACGAGGGTCTGGAGGCGGGTGACTTGTCGGAAGAGAAGGACTTTGACGGGGCTTGCGTCGGAGAGGATCTCTGCGGCTTCTTCGTAGGAGCAGGGCCAGCGGGGTGGGTTCGAGCCCTGGCGTGCGGCGCGTTTGTGGAGGAAGAAGTCGCCCCATAGGTCTTGTTTCTCCTTCAGGGCGCGGGTGTATGTGATGTTCCAGCCGTCGAGGTCGACGCTGCTGTCGGGTTTCGTATTGGAGACCGACGGTGAAACGGACGTTATCTGGCTGTCCTCGTCGGAGATGGCTAGTGGACGCTGATACATGGCCGCCTGCAGTGTGTCGAACATGACCACCAGCCAGAAAAGGAGGTTGACGGTTTCCTGGTGCTCAGGGTCGGCGTAGAAAGCATCCGTCTGTGGAGAAGGTATATCCATACTGGCTAGATCGATATTGCTCTGCTCTGGCGAACTTTGCGACTTTGGTTTCTGCCGCTCCAGACGCGTCAGTTTATATCGGATGGAGAATAGCTGCCGCACAGCCGCCTCCATGAACAATGGCGCGCTGTCATTCTCCAGCAACTCATGCAGCTCCATATCCTCATCGACATTGAGCGGACGCTGTCCAATGGAGAAGATGATGTTCGCAAACGCAACCCGGAAAGAAGGTATACCCGCTGCATTCTCCAGAGCACGACGCGCCTGGTTCCACAGGTTCTCCCGGATGACACGCTCGTGCTGCGCGACGGGTGAGGTTGGAGAAAAGCCATTGCTTCTCGGCATCTTCTGCGCCCATTGCGAGGCGAACGCCATGATTGCGGTGTGGAGAGCTCTCGATGCCATTTTTTCTTCTGCGGCGCTCAGGTTTCGACCACGGACAGATGCATACGCTCGATCTAGCCGACAGACTCGAGTACAGATCCGATTCGTCCAGTTCGGTCCCCATGCCGCTTGCGCTTTACTGGACAGCCCGCTCGGTGAGGTGTATGGGACTGCCGTGTTGTAGGGACAGTTCTGCTCCGTGAGCCAGCAGGACAATGCATTCTCCATGCTGTCATGGTAGATGCGGATGAGGTTTTGTGTCATCATCGAGCGGGCATAGCTGTCGGATATATTATCGGAAAGAACAAATAGATTATCTTTGTTTCCAGATGGATACAGACTGTCTGCTGGGAGCGTTTGTAGACCGTCACCGCTATCCGGAATCACAAAGCCAGGTGAGGATGAGTAATAAGAGCCACTCAATCCCGGACTTGAATCATCAAACTGTTGAAGTAGATCCAGAGTCTCATCGAGAGAGTGCGGTCCCGAACTCGACAAGCTCTGCTGGTAGTAGTCAAGGCTCGAACAACTGTCCTCGGCCGAGCCCGACGTTTCCGCATTGCTCGGAGGTACGTGTGCTGTATTTGCGTTCCAAAGCATGATACTGAACGGGTCGAGTTCAGACTCTCTGCTTCTCAGCGGTATTGAGACGGCATTCGGCTGCATCGACCAAGTCCCTGGCTGATCAGTAGAACCGTTCGACGACACCCCATTCCCAGTACTATTGGATAGCCACGAGGAGGAGTACAGCATATCGTCCAGCAGGTCCGTTCCCGAGCGACTTGAACTCATTTCCTCCGCTCTAGGCAAGCTGCTCACATTACGACTCTTCTGCTTTCGACCTCCGCGCGCGGCGGCGCGGTTCTCGACTAACCAGTTGAACGTGCATTCTCGATTATATTTCCTGCAGTTCGAGCACGGGATGTTGAGATTGCTTTCTGTTAGAACCCTCCGATTGCCCGCCTCCTGGCGTGCTGCTGATGCTCCCGATACAGATGAAGTTGCACCTTGCCGGTCTCTCCGAGCAGGAGCATCGCAAGCCCTCTTCCCCTTCCGACAAGGATCGCAGCTATGGTGCTGGCGTCGACGATGAGGCTCCATCGTGGCACTCACAGTTGTCTCTAAGCGCTAATGAATGCCGGCATACAAATTCGGCTATTACCGGGTGATGGCTATTGTGTGGAGAGATATTGGGGAGGGGATACGGTATGAGGGAGAC